CCCGGCCACGTCTGGCAGACGCGCCGCCGCCGTGTTCACCGACTTCCTGTCTCTTCTGAGCGCGACTGAAACTGGTCCGACCCGGGTCACGGACGGCGTGCTCCGCCGCATTTGGAGCCTCATTGCTGGCCCGCTCCGTCGTGGCGCGTGCGCCTGCGCTTTGACTTCATTTTTGGGGCACGCCGGTGCCCATCACACATCGAGTCCGCTGATGAACTTGCGAAAGCAGCGCTGGGGGAAGATCAGGACGCACCGTTGCGGATGACGGGCACCCTCATTTCCATTCGCCGCGCGAAAAAACTCAGGAGGCCGCCATTATCCCCGCAGGACCCGACAGCCAGCGCCGGCGCCTCGTCGTAGATGGCGCGAGTCCGCAAACAGCCCCGCCGACGCGTGCAGGGGAGTTGATTCTGACGCAGTGTTGCGCGGGCGCTTCGCCTCACTTGGGTCGGCCGCGCCGCGTCGTCGCGCAGCCAACAGGCCCCCAAAAAGTATCGGTGGTGTCGGCCGCCCCGAACGTGGAGGACCCCCTTCTCATGGAAACCCTCCCCAAACACGCGGCTGCCCCACTGGTAGTCCCAGCGGGCCAGGCACCGCTTTGCCCCTCTGCTTCGAGGTCCACGCGCCAGGCGGCCAAATGCGCAGAGAGCGCATTGTGATTAGCCACCATGGCCTCGGCGAGGCGCGGGCTCTAAGGGCGGCTGAAGGAGCTCTGGCCGACGCGCCAGAGGAGCGCGCAATCGTCTGCCCGAAATTCGGCTTCACGAAAATTGGTGGAGAAGCGTTTCGGGTGCGCACATGACGACAAAGCACGCGATAGGCCCGCCCCCCGAGTGTGAATGCGGTGCGCGAGGCCCTCACCGCACCGCGCGCGAGAACCCCGTCGCCTTCTCCACAACCGCGGCCGCCGCTGCGAGAGCGCGTCGACTAGCGCGCCCTCGGCCTTCGATGCCCCGCTTATAGTGGCAAGCGTTGCCGCGCGCAGTTCCACTTCAATTGGCACAAAGGCCCACTGCTGCAGTCAACACACCCCAAAGGCTCCTGTGGTGAACTGGGTTCTCTCGCGACCACTCCAATCGCTTGGAGTGCCCGTGCGTTCCAAAACGTGTACTCGCCAGCTGTGCCACGCGCGCATGCTCCAAGGCTTCACCCAGATCACCCCCGCCAGGCACTCCTATCGCACCGCAGCTACTGGAATACTCCCCACTTTCGGCGCGAACGACCACCCAAATGCCCCTACCGTTTGCAGGTGAAACGAGTCACGTGGAAGCAGCGCGCCCTACCGGAGCGACCCCTCTGCTCCCGGGTCGTGTGCGGTCAGCAGCCGCCGCCTCAGCCAGCCGGGCGCTCAAACAGACCCTGGCTCCAACGTAAGGATGGGCCCCGGCGGACGGAGGGCGGAATAGTTGTTGGCGCCGGAAGCGGCGTGCGCCACGGCGGCTCCCCCGGCATACGCGGGGGGCATGCCAAACGGCTTTGCGAGTCCCGCTAGGGGAAAGATACTTCCCTCGCAGACGAAGGAAGATAAAAGAAAAATACAGAAGAACGCCCCCCCCCCTGCACCCGCAGGCGAGAGGTCGTATGATTCCCGCGGCGCATGATAGAAGTCACGCTCAGGGACTGTTTGGCCATGTATGACGGCAGCGCCCCCAAAAAAGATCACGTGACGACCATGAAGAGGGCGCGGCAGAACCACTGCCAAAGATCCTGCGACGCGAGGCGCACGGTGTCTGCACTGCCCCTTAACCTTCGTCACCGGGCGCGCGCCCTGAGCATACATATTGGCAGATTCCGCAACAAGGGCCAAGCGGCGCCCAAAACAACGCTGTGGTTCAGGAACAGCTTGTGCGCGAGTAGTCGCCGGAGCACTTACTCTCCTGTGCGGCCCGACGAGCCTGCTTCAGCCCGTAGGGACCGGAGGTGCGTGGGCTCCATTTTGGTAAACAACCGGCTTGGCTCCCTTGTGGTCCGTTCAATCTCCCGAGCTCTCGTCCGCCATCCTCCTGTAACGACAATGTGTGTGGATGGCGCCGCCCGTCTGGCGGTGGAGGGTGCGCCCTTTATTTCCTTTTTTTCCTAGTTTTTTTTTGACTTTTCTCTTGCGCCACTCTTTGGGGGGGGGGGGGAACGGGCCAGCAAGAGAACTCGGATTCAACTTCCGATTCCTCGCGCGAAGGGAAAGTTGCTGCCGCCGCGGTCTCCTCAGAAGGGCGATGAGGCCGCAGGTGCAGCGGAAGAACAGTTACATTTGAACAAATAAAAAAGAACGCCCAGCAGCTCTCAAGTGAAGAATGAACGCCTACGGCCGCAGGTGCCCGAGTTCAGCCCTTGCCAGCCTGACTGGCTACAAGCTTGGCGCCGCGGCGGCGCGCCGACTGCTGCGAGTGCGCCGTGCGCCTCCGCGGGGTGCCCGCGGTGGCTTTGGGCCCGCCATCGCGGAATGCTGCGCCGCGGGTTTGTGCGCCGCTGCGCGTCCACGTTGCCATTTTTTTTGTCGCCTTCGTTGCCCGGCCCGCTGGGCGGGGAAGCGGATCCATTCGGTGGAGCCCAGCGGGTGCCTGTTTGGCGATGTCCGAGGCGAACCGCGGCCTCCCTGGAGGGGCCGGCGGCGCCGTGTGCAGGAGGCCCTGCTCAGGTGCTGCCGACTTGCCGCCCGGCGGCTGCACGCGCCAGCGTGTGGCGCCATAACACTGCCAGTAGCGACGTGTAGCGGCGGTGCGCT